TAACATCGTATTCGATCATCAACCATGATGATGATCCATTACAAGATTTGTGCTGGATCCTTGACACGGAATTCGTCGCGATTCCCTTCGACCTGATCATAGCACACAGTGTCATAATCTTCCCATCAGGTGTTCAAGCTGCGTACATCCCCGAACTCGTCAGAAGTGACACGCAGCACTCGCCTCAATTCGATCTCAGCACAAATTATACTAGTCAGTTTAAATGAAAATCTTTTGTTTTCTGTATATATCCTTGACAATGACTTTTTAATAAATTGCAACGTTGGAAAGTAAAAATGATTAAAACCGCCGCTTTAGTTATACTTTCCTTAATTAACATATGATATTTTGTTATGCCGTTACTTTTGCATAAATTCCAGTATATCAAGTTTATTATTCTTTTTTCACAATAGTTAAATTATAAATGAATACAGGACATGTTTCATGATGGAAGAAAAAAATCCACCTAGGTTATGTTTGGTTTTTGTCTATTCATGATTAATGGAAAGTGACCACTAGTAAAAAACCACTATGAACAAGAAGCTTCATATTTCGAATTAGTTGCGTAGATAAATTTTGCTTAGAAGATGTTGCGGTTCTGGTATTTAGTTGATACGAATGATGTTGACATGGTCTCATGTATCGAAATTTCATCGTATCTCCTGGTTTTTGTGGATGATCACGTACTTGGCTTTGTTGAAACGTTCGCTTCAATCACAGAATTTTGATCGTCTTCATCGTCCGTATTAGTGGCAGACGAAGCAGTTTCATCTTGTGGAAATATAAAATTTGTATTAATAGAAACATCTGATATTTGTTCCAAATATTCAGCCATCCGTACGCTTGACGCAATGTTAGAACTCATTGAGTGCTGTTGTTCTTGATGTTGTTGTTGTTGTTGTTGTTTGTATTCGACAAATTTCGCATCAGCTTCCAATGAATCACCCGTAAGGAAGCCAAGTTCAAGATCTTCTTGATCATGTTTTCGAAATACACCGAGTAAATACGTTTCACTTGACGTATTATCATCATATCTCATGAGTTCACGTTCATCTTCAACCTCACTTGCTTCATTTTCATCACTATCATCTTGTGAATCTGAGTTTATCAACGATTCTTTGTCTTCACTAACCACATCCAATGAGGAACGCCGATTGTCAGATCGAACAGTGATCACTTGTTTACGTTTTTTCTTGTGACGTTGGCGTGTCTTCAATTTTTTCTCAATGTCACGCAGACGTTTATTACGCGTATGCTCGTGTGTTGCTCGAATTCTTTGTTTAATATTATCGTCTGTATCAACCATGTCACTCCCCATATTTTTATTACTGATCAGTGAAATGGCATTTTCGATATCATCACGCGCTTGTTCAAGTAGTGTAATATTTTTATGAGTTGCAAGCACTTTGTTACGGCTACTATCAATTTCAATGTTGGCCATGTATGCAATATCCCTATCCGACATACGATTGAGACGATGCTGTAGACTATTTTCAATCGGAATCGACTTGTATTGTTGAATTTCAAGGACAAGATTGGCAAAAAAGTTTGTCGTTATATCATGTAAAAGTTGGCCACGTACAGCCGTGTACAATTCAACAACGGTATCACGTGTTTGTGGTAAATAATTGACTGTTTGCGGATTTCGATTGCTTGTGAGAAATTTGCCTGTAGCATAAATCAACTTGAGTGGATTCTTGTGTTGTGCAATAGCGGAAACAGCTGACGTTGCAACGGCTGGTGTCGGAGGCTGACCCGTCATTATTTTAGGTATCACGTCTTTTGCAACTTTTAGTGCTGTTTGTCCCAAGTTATCCTCATTCTCATCATTGTTATCATCATTGCTTTTTGTTAACATCACATCCATATGTGAAAATGAGCCGACAAGATTTTTCAATGTACCACATACATTATGAACAGCATAGACCATTTTAGCGTATCGTGCATGTTTGATAGCAATAACAGCATTACGAATAAATTTACGTGTAACCGTATGATATTCGAGATCGACTAGACTTAAAAATTTGACATGATTTTCTAAATGTGAAAATTTCGTATTGAGCAAAGCCAGTTTGACATGATTAGCAAAATGATCACTTAGAAATGTGTACATTTGTGTAAGCCAACAAATTCCGATTAGAAACGTTTCACGAATAAGTGTGAAAAGAGATTCACGCACAGCTTTTTCCGTATTCTCATAATCACTCACACCGCCATACAATAGTGATTGGGATGATTCAAACCAATCTCTTTCACGATTCAGTGCATTGTGTGATAGTATCATGTATGAAAATACCTAAAGAAAAATAGAGAGGTATGACAACCAGTATGAGTGTAAGGTAAATATATATCGGAAAAAAAGAGAGAATAGTATTTAACGAGTGGCGCGTAATCAATGACCGGCTTTTATTTTTTGTCGGTCAGCTAACTCATAATAGAAGGCCACCTGGTCTTCGATTGCGATCAAATTTCGTCGCCTGCTAGTAGTCCAACGGTAACCTCACGTGCTTGAAGTCCCTCCCCTATTAGAAGTACGTTTTGGCGAAACTTTTTTTGAGAATTTCGATTTTTTTCCGGACGTAATAGAAGATCATGGTCTTCTATTATGGGGGGGTAGGGATTTAGTTTAACAGAATTATTTTTAAAGTTTGATTTAGAACGCATTCGATTCATTCGACTCATGCTTTTATCCTGATGCTGAATATGATGTTTCTTTTTGCATAAAAGTTCAGTTCTGATGGAGAAAATGTAGAATTACGAACAGAATTCTGACTTTTTCGCCTATGGCTTTTGAAGGTTGGAAGGTGATATTCGGATGCAGCCTGGAACAAACGAATCAGAATATCTATAATAAAGTAAAAAATTAATTTCGCTTGAATTTTGAGTTAGCTGCATCTTAAAACATCGGTTCTCATATTGCCGAATTTAATTCTGAACAATGTCGCATAAATGTTGATTTGAACAATAAAAAAAAATTGTTTTTGATGTTTCGTAAAAAAACAATCAGCTCGCTCGAAGAATACAGGAGTATTGCCATAATACACTGGCTCATTGTATCGCCAGCTTTCCGATAGTTTTCTAAGATGCTACTGATGCAAGATTAAAGCAGATTTTTTTATTTGGTAGACAGATGGTTAGATTGACCTTGACGAGTTGATCAATAATAAATGGATAAAACATTTTTTCGGATGAGTTTAAATCGAAAAATTGTCAGTGATTGGCTCTCTCTCTTGTCGCTTTTTGGTAAAAAGACTTTTCTCTGCGACGAAAAGAAAACATCGAAAAATTCGAGTGTTACTCTTGCACGAAAAAACAATCTCTAGCGGTTCTATGGAAACTTCCAAGAAAAATCTAGATAGCTTTACAAATTGCATCACCAGTACTTATCTCCTTTATGATACCAGACTTACGACCTTGTTGTACTTGAATAGCCTCAGAAATAAATTTGAAAATCGTCAATAATCGAAAGGTGATCTTTTTTCAAGAAAAATAGACCGTCTAAAAAGACTGACAATTTATACTCATCCAAAAACCATTTTTATCCATATATTCTTAATTTATAGGCTTTCAAAAATCAGTATACGATTCTGACTTAAGAAAATTGCCTGTTGATGAAGGCCTGCCTAAATTTTGACTTTTGTTCGACGAAAATGAAACATAGATTGCTCAAGTATGAATTTCAGATGTACACTCAATAAAATAAACTGCTAATTTTCATATTTAAGATTCTCTAAGCAGGATTAGTTAAGTCAAGTAAAGAGAAAGAATGGCATTCAAACAGTTCGTTTCATCTTACCTGACGCAAACGTTCAAAATGTCGAGCACCGATATAGCGTAAATCAAGTGTAGCTAATACTTCTCCATTCGAAATTTGTTTGAGTTGTTCGGCTGACAGATAGGCTCGCCATGTGAGTGCCTGCTTTCGATTCCACGCATTATACTCATCTTCAATTTGTTGATAGGTTCGACCATATTCTTCCAACGGAAACAAAGCATTCACTTCTGCTCGATAGGCTGCATAGTCGCTGATTGTCGTTCGAAATGCTTCAATATACTTTTGATAATTATTGCGTACACTACGTGGATCTTGTTGTTCAAGATTGAATAGAGCTGTTTCGAATCCTTCGGAATATTTTCGAATAAGCTGATTGATTATCCGTTGTAATTTTGGTAGCGCAGCACGAAATGCCTAGATAAAAAATAACGTCAATTTCTATAGATTTTGAAAATCAAGATCTTCATCGATACTGACCCGTAGCCATAATTCTTGAATTTGTTGTCGTACAATATCGATACCAATTAATGGCCGATACCGTTGATTGAATAAATGATATCTGGAATCACCCGTACGGGCCTTTCTATTGATAACATTGATCCAGTCGTCCACTTCTTTTTTTTCTCTTTCGGGTAATTGAGCAATACATTGAACATTTTCTTCATATGTATGTTCAGAGAAATTGTACCTTTTCATGAAAAGATAATTATGTATTTCTCTTGTCACTTTATTCTGATGTATCTCAATGAAGTGTTATTGTTCTCATCGTTTCTTTTCTCAGTTGTTGCGCGTGGGCGAGCACCGATTAACAACAATACAAGCAGATCAGCTTTTCTTAACATCGAACAAACATTGGCATTGAGTTTGCTGACACTCATGCAAGAAGAAATCGTCTTTCAGACACAATTAGGCCGAAGAGGATGACCAAAAGGCAGAGGCTAAACACGCTCTCTCTATGCAGAAATAAATAGATACTCTTCGTACGCGCTCCGACGACGATGAGATCGACCGTGAGGAATAGTTCGAGGAGTCTCTCACTGTTCGTAGCCATCAGCAAATGAACATAGCTCATTGTGAATATTTGTCCTCTCTCATTTGATACTTGTTGTGTATCTTTTTGCGATATAAACACTGTCTATTGCCTGAAACAATTTTCAGATTTTTTCTTGATTTTACGACATATTCGCCGATATTAGATACAAGTTTCTTACTCATTTTTTCAAGAACTGATAAACTTTGTTCTCATTTTTATGCGTACTGATGAGACATTCCGACAGATTCTACACCTTTGTATCGAAATACTACTGGATACAGCTTATAATGATATAATCGTATGATTGCATAAACTGACTTTAAAACTTTCAGACCATTTATTCAGTAAATAGGGCGAGGGTGTGCGAATAGCAAATGGCTCAGTTTTCTACAAAAAAAGCATGCTTACAGTGAATTACCAAGTAATTCAAAAGATGTATGTTCGTCTAAACACTACGATCCTTCTCAGATTAATATGAAGATCGACTTGCATAAACACAGCTCATTTTGAAAGTTTCTAGGCTTCTCATTTCACCGATTCTAAAATATGAGTATTGAGAACCTTGCTATGTGAAAAAAATAACTGTTTCTGTATTTATAATGTTAAGCTAAGAATAACCGATAAGATCGATACTTCCAGGATGAATTTGTGCAAAGTTTGAAATTTATTTCGAAGGTGATCTAAGATTGACCGCTGGGTTCTTTTAAGAAAATCGATCTCTCATGAACGAAGGTCGACTCAGCGAATAAGCATAGTCTCAAGTGAAAAGAAATTTAGTAGCGGAACATATTTCCTCGTGAGATATTACGAACCCTTTTGAGCGAAAACAGAATATCATCGACATGGTTGTTCCTCAGTATTTTTGCTATAGAGAAAAGAAGCCTCGGTCCGAGTTAACCTAGATAAAACAGAAAAATATACTTACACATCGAAGACCATGTTCGTAAAATATGTATTTGGAAAGATGTTGATTCGTGAGTTAATATCTTCATTAGCTGCTGTGCCATTGTCATGTTCACGCATGAAAGCATCGAATTTCGTTTGAATTGTGATCGTATGTTGGACATAATCTTTTCTGGCTGGTAACTTTGAACCCCAAAGAGAGGGTTCACTAGTGCATAGTTCGCCGATACGTCGTGTTCCATATGTATTATCAGCCAATTGTTGAGCTTCTTTGAGTTGAACAATCATAAAGGTCGGATCGCGCACATAATGTTCGGTAATACGTTCAACAGCTGCTCGTTTGATCGGATCTCGATCACCGCTGACTAGGCCAGGTACATCTAAGATTTCGAAGTCTGTGTAATGTTTGCTAGCAATTTCGACAATGAATGGCTCGAGACGAAAGCCACCGTCGCTCTTGTGATCGTTCTCGATCCGTGCCATTTCCGTTTGCAAATTTCTGCCGAGATCTTCGGCTAGCCAACCTCTCGGTTGAATGAAATGAATTTCACCATCGGCTAAATTTGGATCATAGCGTAATTTGTATTGTATGGGACATCGAGTGCCAACATTGGCTTGTGAGAAAGCACATGGAAATCGAAGAAACATTTGAACCAACATCGATTTGCCCGATGATGTATCGCCGACAAAGACAGTTCGAGGAACGGCTAATTCATCTTCGAGATGGTAATCAAGTGCAATCTTGCGCAATATTTCGTACGCTTTGAACATGGCCGAATCGAGCATGGGATCTTGTCGAATTTTGTCTTTAACAAATCCCATATTTATCTCTGAAGTATAATTAGATGTTCGATTATGCGTACCATCTTGCAACATACTATGATCGTTAATCGATGGCACTGAGTTGTTGACACCGTTGTCGATACCATTGTCGTTACGTTCGATGTTTTCAGGTTCTTCCATGATAAAAATATTATTTTAAAGTCTTTCTCATTTTCGAATTTTAGATAGTGAGACACAGAAGACATTGAATTATATAATCCAAACGGTCAGATTACGACTGGGAAAATTCTTACCGTTTGTGTGCTTGTTAGTCATCTTCCTGTTATTCATCGTTATTTTCAATTCTTCAGAAATGATCATGTAAAGTCATTAGAGCTGATATGAAGGAGAAAGAACGAAGAAAGCGTGGCATCACGGACAATAGTCTTAATATATATGTTATATTTACATAACGCACATTGCACTCTGAGCACACACTATATTTAACGTGAATAAGAAAAGAAAATAGAAAAGATAAAAGAAATTGTTATTTGTCGCAGTTCTATTACATCACTTTCAAATTGGGAAAATGCCCGTGTGTATTATCATTTTATATTGGGGGCTGCTTTTTCCCAACGTTAATAGGATGCAATACCCAGAACGATGATTATGACAGCCGTAAACGGCCGTATACGATGAGTGATACTGCAGTTTACGATGATGGACATAGTAGTATACGTCAAAATACGACGCTCTTTACGACGAAATAAAAAAAAACTGATTTGAATGATGAGTCATCATTCGCACACGTTTCTGCACTATCAAGTGAAGAACGTGGACTTGTACAAGAGAAAAGAAAATAGAATAAAAAAATGAAAATTTGTTCTATTCTGTATACGACCAAAGCCAGTTCCAATGATTCAATAATTTAATTTTATTATCGCTTAATAAACCAGGAATAAATCGATCTTTATGTTCGAATGCAAGGTTAATACCCGTACTAAATAACACTAATTCAGGACCAAGAGAATCATAACTGCCATCCGTTGATGTTTTTTTTGACTTATTAGTGCGCCACCAAACATAATCAGCATTAATAATAATAATGTCCAACGTAATATTTGTTGCATTTTCGTTTTAACATGTTGTTGCTTAATGAGTTGTTTACCAATAGTTTCTAATTTTATCATTAAGCATAGAGTATAATATGCCACTGCTCGATCTGATGGTGCGGACGTTGTTTCTAATTGGATAACGGATGATGATGATTGTTGCAGATGTTCTAAGCTTAATTGAATTAATTCACGATGATGTTTCAGTTCTAAATTCTCTAATTGTGCACGATATTGTGGCCGGTCAGAGCTTACTTGTTGTCTCACCATTATCGGTTCCGTTTGTGATTGTGTAATATCTCTTGATGTTTGATCATGATTAGATTCTGATGTTGTGGATGCTGTTTTCAAGAAATTGGGACGTTGTTGTTTCATTTCGTGTGTGTATACCATTCTACATCACCGGAAGACCACACGATTGCTGGTCGTTTTCGAGTGTTGTTGATAATAATTCATGATTCACGAATGATGTCGATGGATATTGGTCATACGATGTTTGAAGATGTTGTGGATGAAAGTGATATTGTTGTGGTTTTGTCTGGAGATCGTTGGTTTCTTTTTTATTACCAATAACTTTCATAGGTTTTCCATTTTTTGCTTGTAAAATGATTATATCATCTGGTTTAACACACAAATATTGTAGTTCATCATATCATTTATCGTCAAAATTCTTTTATTTTCGTAGGCTTTTTCATTCTTAAACCATTCATATAAAAATTGACGTTGCTGTTGTACGTAATTATTCGCTGGGATCCCCATTGTTGTAATTAATCCGAATTCGTCTCGTATGTGATGTTGAATTGACAAACGATTGGCTAGTGCACTAATGTGAGGATGACAATCATCATGTGTTTATTTAACAGAGAAAGATAACTACTGAATGCCCATCTTCACATAAAAATACAATCGTATATATATATGTAACAGTAATAGAGAGAGGAATGTAAAACTACGTGAGGGAGTGATACAATAAAATGGTACGATAAAAGTGGTGTGATGAAGAAAGAATGTATGAGACGACTATTGTGAAAAATGTGAGATGGGTTTTCTACCTAACAAAAGTCTACGAGGGAGATACTTTTTAATATAAGAGTCTAGATTTGATTCGTTTACCACTTCAAAAAGATTGTCTCTTTCCACAAAATAACATCGATAGATTATTCGGAGACCTACACGATATTTTCTATAGAACAATTCTTGTTGGGTGCGAAGTGGTAGTGGGAAACAGGGGAAGATCCAAAGAAAGAATGGAAACGAATAAGCAAAAAAACAGAGACGTAGCACATTGGTTGATATCCGTCTGTTTCGTTTTAACCATCTCAACTTTACATAAGATTTTTCTATGTTTAGTAAACATTTCATAATCGTATGTTTCAGGAATAGTTTACTTGTCAAGATAAAACCGAGATATTTAAATTCTGAAACCAGTTCTAAATTCCAACCATTGAAATTAATTTCCACGGTTGGTTTATTTACTTGTGAATAAAATAACTGTCTAACTGTTTTAGTGAGATTGATTGGTTGTTTCCATTCTGTATAGACCGGAGGAAGTAGTTTCAACATAAAATTTGATACCCCATCCCGACCTGAACATTTTTTTGATTTTAAGTTACGAATATATTTATTTACTTCTAGAACAGAAGCGGGTTGAATTAATTCATTACAGTTATTTAATTTGATTAAAATTTCATTGTACTTCTCTGCTATTTTAACATTACTCTCAGAAAGTCATTACTGTCCGAAAGTGGTAATAATGCCACAGCAGCAAATGATCTGAACCATATACACAGCTGTTCGTCATCTTTATACGCTGCCTGTAAGCCTAAAGAAAGGAACGTTTGGGTGATATATCGTATTTACTATGTGATTCTTTAACATGTACCTAAATACTGAAAGGACACCGCCGGATAAGTAGCGATATCTGCCACCCTACGTTTTCATATTCTGAAGACATGGTCAGATAGAACTCACTCTGGCGAACATGAATATGATGTCAGAAACGTTCAGAACCACTTAGGA